TTATACTGTGTGAAAATAACCCTTCATTGTAGAACATGACACATTTTCTTCCCTAAATGGACAAGAAATACAATTCTCATATGCAAAGAAGGCCTCCAGTAAGAGAGGAGGTGGATGGGGAGCAGGTGTTCTGTACTCAATAACCGTGTAAACAACAGGAGATATGTCAAAAATACAGAAAGCTACATTAAAATCTTTGTATGAATTATGTATAACAAAAAATAATATTGCATATAAGTAACATAAAAGCAACATCTCTCCATATAGATAATCAGTATCCTTTATTGTTTATAAACTTTGTTTATCTGTAAGCTTTATAAACCCATAAGGGAAAAATACATATATAAATAATGTATAAATCCATAAGGGAAAGAAACATTGAATAATTATATTCTGTTACTGATTCACTTCAAGCTTATTGCCAGGACAGGACACTTTCCATCATTTAAAATATAATACTCTAATGCTGTCAGAAAAATAACAACAATAATAATAAAAGCTGTTGTAGTTTTTACTACATATTATTTTTTTTAAGAAAAGGAAAGGAAAAAAAAGAAAGTTATGATATGGCTTCGCACTACAGTGGCTAATAAGTGGGATAATGTAAAAATTGTGGCGAGGAGTTTCTGCATGTTAGATCCAGCTGTGCCACTAATTGTATCACTTTGAAAAAATTCCATGCACAGTTATGCTCATGCTTGTGCTTAGCAACATCTGGACATTGCAAGTAGACGTGTTGATTTCCAGAACTTTCCAGAAATGAGTAAAGCAATACTGGAAGTAAATATTAGTAATGGGATTCAATCTGCACTCTTTCTGTCTGAGTCAAATTTGGTGTTGGTAGGTGATCTTGCACGGAGCAACAGAGCAACGTGTTGTTAAAAAAACCGTAATTCCCTTTCTGTTCTTTATTTAAAATTATATATATAAATATATAATATATATATATATAATATATATATATATATATATTTATATATATATTATATATATAAATTATACATTTAAAAATGAGCTTTGTATATCCTCTACATGAAAATGGCTTCTTAGCTAGTTTATATATCATATAGACTGAAATTTGGATCCCAAAGTGGACTGTACAAAATCTGGAGACTGTAACTGAAAGTCAAAAGGTGATAGTCTTAACACTGGATGAATTTCAATCTTAAACCAAAATTTTCAAAAATAGTAACCTCACAAGTCAGACTCCTGAAACTCTCAATTCTTGTCTGAAGTTGGTGTATCCATGCAAATACTTCTGTGTTCTGTAGGCTTTGGTTCACTGACAAAGTCCTAAATAGATGACCTAATTTTTCAAATAGAAAAGTCTCTCTGGCATTAAGTGAACCTGGAAGTGCTCACCACTTTGGAAAAACAGGTCACACAGCAATTTAATATTCACTCAAGAGTTTCATTCCAGGCTTGTTTTTTTTTTAAATATTCATCATGTTAGTCTTAATACATACAGGCCCAAAGAGTGATGTACGCATTGTAGTGTGAAATGCAGTCAACATATAAATTAGTAAGTACTGGACAAACCAAGTTCATTTCTGAAACAACTGATCTATGGAGCTGCCCGGGCAGATGTTTTTCAGGGAAGTCAGCGTGGGTTAACAAAGAGAGAAAAAATGGCTTCTTCCTTCAATTTGACATTTCCTTGCCTTTTAACAAGAGGATAAGACTTTTGACTTCTCACATCTTGCTAATATTCTTGAGTGAAATTTGTCAAGGCGGCCCTATCTTACTGATCTATTGAAAGAAGACATTAAGAGATGATTACATGCACACAAGGCTGGATAAATCAGCTGGATGAATAACATTTATCAATTTGGGCTTTAAATATTCTCAAACCACAGATGAGGATAGCAGGTCATATATAATAGCACTTTGGACTGATAGAGTATTACTTTGCATAAATATTTGCTAATTAATTTTTAAATATACAGTAGGTATTTTGCACAGGTAATGGTTTGTTACCAAGAACATATGAATATTAATTATATTCTCAAATCTCGGTGGAGATAGTAAGTGCTAAGTGTTATCAATTTTTTTTTTTCTTTTATATTTAAAACTGCTGCAGTTGCACTAATCCTTTAGTACATTGTGAGTATTTCAACAGTGCTCATGTCTGACGTAACCTAAATCAACAATCATTTCAATACTTATTTGTTTTTACGCAATATAGATTATAATTAATCATGTCTTTTGCTGGGGTTGAAAGGAGAACTAGAATTGACCTCGAAACTCTTGTCGGGTCTCTTAAGCTTTAGCTTTTCACTGAGACTCTTGTCAGTCTTACTTATAAATTGAACTCTTTGGCGTGGCGTAAGCCTTAAATGTAAATGATTGTGGTTCCACTGACTTCAGTGAATGAACATCCTTTGTTCAAGTTAAGTGTGTCCCTTCTATCATTCTGCCGTCTTTCTTTGTCTTAAGAGTTCATTCCTGCACAGAATAGACTTGCCCAGAGAAGCTGTGGGTGCCCCATTCCTGGCAGCATTCAAGCCCAGGCTGAATGGGGCCCTGAGCAGATCATCTGGTGAGTCGCAGCCCTGCTTGTGGCAGAGGGAGTTGGAGCTCGATGTTCTATAAGGTTCCGTCCTAAGCCATTCTATGATTCTTTTGTTTTCTGTATTTTTTGTCTTGTCTATCTCTAGAACTTTATCCTGTTTCTTACATTCCTCTGGGCCTGATCATCACTACTCAAAAATCCAAGATTTGAAGAAACAAATGCGTGGTTCCCTCAACCAGTCTTTTACTGATGAATTTCTTCACAGTTGGAGTTCAAACAATCACTCACTAAGAACAAGGTTCACCAGAAATCGTTGCTAGTTTGGCCCTAGAAGTCATTAACTTGTTTTCCATATGGATATGAAAGTGTAATTTATTTCTCTCTTTCACATGAATAACTGTTCTGGCATTTCTGTTGTATTTGACTATGCAGCACTAAAACACCGCAGAAGCTGCAGTTCTGTAATCATATTATAAAATCAGTGTGTTTGAGATGCAGCTTCAACTTTTGTTCTTCTTTTTACATGTTAGTGGAATCTTCAGTGGAATATCAGAATATCAATATATAGGTACTTGGAGCATAGAGGGTCTGAGACTCCAAGGAAATGTAAATCATTTATCAAATGGCTATTATGAAGCAGTAATCTGAATTTATAAGATGAGAAATAATATAAAAATAATTGTATAATATATAACGCCAGAAAACAACAGTAGTAGAGAACCCAATGAAAACAAGCAATACTTTTAGTTTTATGTAAGCAGGCTACTGACTGTTCATATTGCCAAGAGGTAATAGAAGAATTTTTGTAATAAACTCAGTATTATGAACTGGGGATGTCAGGTGTGAAAGGACTGGGTATATTAATCAATCAAAGTATGACTTTGAGTTATGAACTTGTCATGTGGATATGAAAAAGGAAATTCTAATCATAGACCGCATCAGGCAATGAATTACCACCTTTATATTGCTGAAATTCATTAGAAATTCTGTATTAACTTTATTCAGCCTTATTTCAGAGGGATGAATTCTCACTGGAGCAGGTGCAGAAAAAGGGGTTTTAACATAACTAGCAAATGAGAATCTACCTCAGGAGTCAGAAACTGAGTATTATAATTAAGCAGCTGCTGGGAGTAAATATGCTTGCTGTCCCTAAATAGATGCAGAATACAAACATTGAAGTGGATTTGATTGAACAAAAGTTGCAAAAGCAAAAATAAATTTTAATTTTAAAGTAAAAGGATATGAATGGGTTGTGAAAAGGGCAAAATTTGTCTGCTGAGTAATATTCATTAGGAGTTGTGGGAAAACTATGAGGAAATGGCTTGTATTTCTCCTATGGCTAATTGCAAAGATGGGAGTTAATCCATGGAGATCCACTTCAGTTTTTTGTGGTCTTCTCCCTGCTGTGAAAGACCGCTTAAGCCATTGATTTACGCAAACAGAAAAACATGCTGAGGCAGATTATTTAGTGTCCTTACCATAACAGTGAAGCACAGGTACTGTGTGCACATTTTTGATTTTATGCCATATTGCAAAACCAGTAAAGCAAAGGTATGTATCCAATAATGTTTAGCTTTAGTGGTGTCTGTCTATTATTATGCATTAAAGCATATGTGAGACCTTTTATATTGCTTTAGAACTAAACCAAATAAAAATAAAAAGTACAAGTTAAAGCAGGCCTGTGTCTTAATCTCTTGTATTTGTTGAGGCCTAACAAGATGTGTTTTTGTTGACTTTCATTATAAAAGATGCTGCTGAAGGAATGATAGCCAACTTTCCCACATAGTTCTTTCAAGAACAGACCTGCTTGTGATACCAGCTAAAATCTTTAGTCCTTAATATCTTAATGAAAACTTGGATGATGTATACAGTGTCAGAACAATAATTTCTCTAACACTAATCCATCTGAACCATCGGGACATGCCGTACACAAACTGCAGCACACTGTGTGCAGTGTGAGTTCAGATCCGATGCGTCATGTCAGGGTGGGCAGTTATCACTCAGCTAATAGGCCTGCTGTGTGCAATTCATCCTGACAGTTAGTCTCCAGGATATTATCTCCAGATACTATACCTGTAGCTCCACACTTCCTCTCCAAAAACTACTTCCAGCTTCACAGCCTCCAGTCTTGTATCTATGAATGGGAGCTAATCACTACCTTTTGAATTTATGCTGCCTACTCTTCATTTGCTATCAGGAACATCCAGCAGTAGTCTCAGTTGCTAAGACTTCATGACTAACTTTCTATTCTGCGCACGGGCTATGTGACCATATGTGCTGTGCCCAGCAACATGGAGTGGGATGCATTTGGTCTTCCAGTGCACTCTTTAGGGCTTATGGACTGAGACAGTTGTGAGCCTTTGCAAAATAAACCCCACATCCTTCCTGACTGAAGTGCTGTGGACATCTCACTTCATGTACATATAGCTTATGCAACAGTTTGTTCAGCGTTCTTTCCTTCACACATTTCCTATTTTTTCTCTTACAGATGGGCAAAAGAGGAAGAAATCACTAAGAAAGAAACTGGACTCATTAGGAAAGGAGAAAAACAAAGACAAAGGTAAAACTACACGAGTACATATTCACTGATTGATCTTAGTTTTACGTATAAGATTTCTTTAGTCTTAGATGTATGCTTTCTGAAACAGGGAAATGTTACCAAGCTGATGCGTTGCCTACATATTCATTTCCAGGTGGAAAAATGTCATATCTTTTAGTAACTGACGTTCGAGCAAGCCCATCTTCTGAACTGAAAGCTTATTTCCCAGGAGAATATGAAGTGTTAAAGAACTGTGTCTTTTCTTCCTCATTTTCAGCAGCCAGTGCAGAGTGAAATCAGGATAATATGATCCTGTTGTTTACCTCCATATACACTCTCTCTTTCAATTCACAAAGCGTGTGAACCCAACCCTGCCCAAAGCTAGTCAGTTGGTTTGTTTTTCTTCTTTTTTAACCTTAGGAAAACAGACATTGTTTAAAACGTATAAATGCTTCAGTGCTACTGATCAGTTGGGTTTTAATAGCCTCTGTGTGACATGGATTATAGAGATGGTGGGACTTTCTTGTTTGGACATTAAGCAGCTTTTATGGGCTGGGTCCTAATCCAGTGGACTTGACCTGTAGTTTGCAGTCATTTTAACCAAGTCCAGATGTTGAGACCTGAAATGAGTTTTTCTGAAAGTGAAATTTTCGGCATGTTGTGCATCTAATTTTGTGTTCAGTCCTAGAGAAGTTGTTTGGAAAAGTAGTACTAAAATTCAGTATTAATACCTCCATTTCAAAAACATATGAATTTGTAAGAAGAGAAATGATGTGGTTTCTGCAATGTTATTGCTTTTAACCTAATTTAATAGAACTTTGAGATTGCAGTGAGAAAAAATGAGTGTCCCATATCAAAGTTACTTTAGGTGCTTGTTGGAAAGATAACATTTTCCTTTTAATTTTTGTCTGTTGGATGAAATCATATATGCACTCACTCTTTTTATTGGTTTAAAATTGGCAATGGAAAATATTTGCATTGATCTTTCTAAAAGTGAAAGCCCTGATGTGTTTGTTTGAATAAAAGATAATTGTCTTCTGTGTTGCATTGTGAATAACACATCTTTCATTATGAAAATTACTTGATGTAGAACTGAGCTCACCTTTAGAATGAATTGTTGAGGAAGTGGTCTAATGATCTTAAATCCACTTTTGGGGAAAAATCTGTTTTATACTGCTCCTGTCCATGCTTTACATTTGTTTGCAGGGTAAGCAATCTATCATTATCTTGCTTAGTTTCCTTGTTTTTTTTTAATGTTTGTTTTTGTTTTTTTTTTTTTCCCCTTACCCACAGATCTTCACAGTGTTATAAAGTGTACTTGGCCATGTAGGGATCAGTAATTACCCACAGCAAAGATCAGCACTCTGTACTTACTCATCTCTGCATATACTTTTATTTACCTCCCATTTATTAGCATGGCTTAACTTTAGCCAAGCATTTTTAGAAATTATTATGCTGATTCTAATTGAAATTCCTTTTTTTTTCTTCTTTTAACTTCAGATTGTTTCAACTCTCCTATCTTCCACTGCCTTATTCTCATGTATAGGTTGAATTCCAAGATGTCTTTTACTTTCTAAGATGTATGACTTCTCTCCATGTACAAAATGTTATAGAAACAGAGCATCTGTTTATGTCATTTGTCCAAGTCTTGTGGATTGACAAAGGTGTTGGGTTGTTCGATAGAGTACGAAAGCCAGGAAGCCTAAAGGTTCCCTAGCAGAGACAGCAGAGTAAAGAGAAAGTCATGCTGTCTTTTGTTGTGATCAGCAAACATTAAGCAAATACTAGCCAAGGTAGTGGCACAGGGCACCCCACTTCTCAGTGTTTCTTTCTAGTACACATTTCTGTGCTCTATTGGGTTATTAAATATCATCCGCCCCACAGTTATTTGCTGAGCACACTCTTAATCTGTGACTACAGAGTGGATAAGCCACCACGAAGGTCCTCACTTGCACCATGTAGGCAGCAAGCCAGGCAGGCTTGGTGAAAGACAACAGGAACAGTAGCACCTGCATCTCCTGCCCTGCTACATGTGTTGGGATGTGTGTGCACCCAGAACGAGGCTTCACGCAGTGCTTTTGGCAGGGTTGGAGGGCTTAGCATAATGGGCAGCTCATAAATTCAGAGTCACAGAGTTGCACAGTTTTTAGGTAATGAGCTTGCTTTTGCAAGAAAAAAATGCAAGGCCTCTTGTCTTTATGCTGCTTGTCTTCATGTCTTGGCAGAGCTGTACCTGCTGCCCTGAACAATGGTCCCTGTGTTGCCAAAGTTCGAGTTAGAAGTAACTTCTGTCCTTTTGTGTCAGAGCAAGCCGAAAGTATTTATCCTGATCTGTACCATGCTGTTTTTTTAAAAAGCATTTTACCGTTTATTTTATAAAGGGAATATCTTCCATTACTGGGCAACCGCTCCAAAACAAACACTCTGAGCCGTGGATGTGGGTGTGTGCACACAAAAGGCCAGCAGCATGCACTGTTCACCCTTGAGCATCCCTGATCCTTGTGCCTGTAAGGAGTGCCTGCCTCTCTTCCCTTTTTCTTTTTTCTCTTGATGACTGCTGACACTGTACCATCCTCAGAGAGGAGCTGTGAGAAAAAGAAGAAGGATGTCAAAGTGGAAATGGGGAAGCTGATTTGCAGGATGCTTTTTATAGATAAGTTGCAGCTGCCTTTATGCAAAGAGCATTTCCCTCCCCTCACTTGAGCATCACATTCATAAGCACAGTTACTGCTGAACAGTTCATGATTAATTCAGAATGTTTGTATTCCAGCCTGAGAGAACTCACATATCAGGACAAACAGAAGCCTAGGGGCCATTTAGTTAGGATTCACCTGGAGTGTGTGTCACCTGAAAAGTATTTTTTGAATGAATAGCTCTCTGAATGTTAATCCTCACAAACACATAGCACTGTGGTCTGTGACCCAATGTGTGATCCTGCATGTAATTTGCATCCAAAAATGAATAAGATGAAGGTGGTGCAAAGTAGGCCGCAGTCCTGATTACTGGGGATGCACAACAGAGGCCCTGCTGTAGGGAGCTTGAAGAGTGAGCCCTACAAGCAGTTTATTTTGCTTGCAGTCAGCTTTGTGTCTTCAGGTGTGAGCAGTTCCTGAAAAAGAGCAAAGTGGATTTTATACTTAGTTTTGCATGACACTTTAGCACTGACATACACTGAAGTGCCCCGGAGCATGAACTTGTGGAATTTCTCTGCCTGTGGGGTACAGCATCTCAGGTTGGTCCTGGAGTCTGTTCTCCCCCACCCCACTCCACGAGACAGCTATGCTTAAGGATGTTGCACTCGTTTCTTATGACTGTTCTGAGCTTTAATTACTCATATGGTAGGGTCTGGAGATGTTCAAGACCTGCCTGGATGCCTACTTGTGCGACCTGGTGTAGGGAACCTGCTTTGGCAGGAGGGTTGGACTCGATGATCTCTGGAGGTCCCTTCCAACCCCTACAGTTCTGTGACTTATTCCAATCTGTGGAGATTTTACTCTCCCAACATCACATTTTATTTAGATAGACCGGTTGATCAACCCGACTCTTAAGTGAGAGTCTCAGCAAGCTGAAGGCCAACAAAGACACTAAAGAAGAATTGAATGCACTTTAAACAAGATTGATATCTTTATTTTGTCCTTTTTGACAGGTACATCTGTCAAAATCTAATTGGAAGGAAAAAAATCTGGAATAAGTGTTTTCATTTGTTTTTACATCTCTGAGTGACTCACCAGAACAGGATATAGCAAAACTTGCCGGATGTAAATGAATGAAACAGGAGTGCAGCACTCCACCCAGATGTCTAAGCGGTGTTTTCAGCTGTTACCATTCAATATCTTTGCTTTTCTCTACCCTGCCTCCTTGTTTATGGACATTGTGATTCTGAATTGTGTTGTCTACCTGCTGACAAACAGTACTGTGGCTGGAGGAACGATAAATGTCAGCACTGCTCAGAATAAGAAATTCTTAGAATTCTCTGCATGCTGGTGACTGAGTACTGTTCCCTTGCAAATTCACTGCTAATTTTGACGACAGCAGAAGTGGAGCCTTTCATCTGTCTGCTGCTAGCAATGCAGGGGTCAGCATAAGCATGCCTACTTGGAAAGTACCCACCAACATTCCTGGGGGCAATGGCTCTCAGAAAGGATTTCTCCTAAAATATACTATCAGAGAACCAGCTCTGTTTTTCCATGATTCTAGTAAACTCTACAGGTGAACTGAGAGACTTGCTTAGAAGTAGTAATCGTTTGTTATATGATTTGTTGAGCAACCTTTTCCTGATGTTTCTGTGTGGAATGTAAATACTTGAAAAATTCCTCTGCGAGATCTTTGCAGAGTTGCTGTGTATGCTGTAGTTTCTGAGAATTGTAACTAGGGGGTATGCAGCTTCAGGAGTAGATAGACCCCCCCCCACCTTTGTTGAGCTGAGTCAAAGGATTTCATTATCTCAAAAACTGCATTTAAGCTACACTTAAGAAAAATAAATTAAAAAAACTCACAACAAAAGGCTAAGAAGACTATCTAAAATTGTTGTATGGTGCATTATTTGCTTTATTAGCTTTGTAAACCTTATTAGGGTCTAAAGTAAATACCTCAGAGGATCTTAATAGATGGTTGTAGTTTGTAGGATGGAAACCACAATTTTAACTCATGGGATCTTCAGATAAGACTTTGAATCTATATTTGGGTTAGGTGGCATAAGGCCAAGTAGGCTAACTCTGTGGGTTGCTTCCTAGTTATCATCATTTGGTTAACAAAGAGCAGGATTTCTGATTTTTGGTCACAGAAACTCTTATTTGATCTGGCTGAAAATATTTCCATGAAATATTGTTTGTTTTTTTTAATTCACAAATGCTGATTTACTGTAACAGAAGAATTTTTTAGAAACATACCAGTTTCAATCACAATTCGTAATTTTATCAGCTGTGAGATGGACTTTCTTATAATAGAAATGCACTTCTGCAAAATCTCAAATTGTCTCTGGTGCCAGTATACACTCAAAGCAAAATGGATCAGAAATCAAGTACGTATATGCTTCTGTTTAGGCTAAACATGTGAGTCTACATTTCCAACATAATTGCCCACTCTGTCAGCTTGTTTCCAATTTTTACACAGTGCTGTCTCCAACATTTATTTTTAAACAGTACACTCCTCTAATTGAAAAAGTGATCAGTTTCATTGGGCTTACAGAGACAGTAAGTAACTCAGTAGCTTTGTTACCGTGGTACACATGTAACTATACATATATACATATAGCCCGTGCTATAAGGAACATTTTCTTCATACAAGTAGAACACCTCCAACAGTAGAGCCTAGAGCAGCAGTTGGTGCTTTTACCTGGATTGTGAGAACAGAACCTCAAATTTACATGTCGTCCATCTGAGAAGGGGCTGCATGGCTCTGTGTGACTAAAATACTTCTTTTTCCCAATGAATCTGAAACTTCAAAAGGGCAGTCATTCATTCACCTTAGTGGACATGTCCTTACCTGTCTACCAAGGGAATTATTGAAATTGACTGCTAGTGATGTTAATGGGGAGAGCGGATTGTAAAACATGTTCTTCTCCACCACCCAATACCCCTGCACACAACGCTGTGCTGGGAACTTGAGGCTGTAAGCCAGTCTGTGGTGGGTGCAACCAATTCTCTTGATTTCAACAAATGAACAAAAAGTTACTGATTTTGCCAATTTTGTAACGTAATTACCACTGCCAGCCAATATCACTTCCATCTGTATTTAGTCTGAAAATCAGCCAGTTGGTTTTCATCCAGTTCTCCATCTCTGCCAGATATTGAGAAACTGGGGAAGTGGTTCGTGTCCTTTGAAAAGGAGGTGTACAACAAAGCAGCGTAGAGCAGAGGATCCGTGTCCTTCCATTGCTTTGCAGTGAAATGAGCAATGAAACAAGTTAATGAAGCAAGTGAAACAATAGCAATTGAAAAACTGGCATCCCACACCTAAGGGTTTGAGAAGAGGAGCAATACTTACCTCAAAATACTGTCTTTTATATAACAAAGTTGGGGAACAGGGCCATTTTCATGAAATTCTCTTAATGAAAAAGTACTGAAAACTCATTCCCTGGTGATCCCCACCCATTCCATCCTTGTGTTGTACGATCAAAGACATCATCATACTGTTGGGTATCAACAGGTTGTGCACAGCCGTCCCATCCCCATTTGAAGCACAATTGACAAAAGCATTTATATATTTATTGTTCAGGTTTTCATTCAGCTCAGTGGCTTTAGTCAGGAAATATTGTGGGAGGAGAGAGAAATAGGAGAGCTGGAGATGTAACAAAGGGGAGTCACGTTGCAGATATGTGTTGCAAGTGAATTTTCAAAGTAAGCTTATGGTCTTAAATGTTCATTGGGAAGATAATCCACAATACTACAAAATTTCAGTACAATTAATCTCATCATTTTATAATCATACTTGCTAGAGTGGAGGAGGAACAAGTTTAACTCTGGGCTCCAGGAACTGGAAATCTCTGCATTGCTTGACACCCATTGATGATGTACTTTCTTGTCCTAAATTAAATGCAGATGGTTTTAGATATCATTCTACTCACTGGTCACTTCCAGACTTGTTTGATATATGAGGATCTGCTTCCTTATTTTGTTTTGTCTGGCCACCAAAGTTAGTTCACATCTTAATGTTTCATATTTTCTAAAGAGCAAGCAAATGAGAACAGGCCCATGTCTCTTTGTTAGAATAGGGTAGAAGCACCCTCACTCGGGATTCATATATTATACTCTTCTTTCCAGTCCCCTTAATCTTAATAATAATGTAACATTAACAAAACTTGAAAGTGTCATCAAAGATACAGTCAGACTCAATCCCAGGAAGAATTTCCGTCTTTAATTGTTTAGACGACTGAGAGGCTGGATGTGTAAAGATTTTACGTTTGCTCTCTCTCTCTTTTTTTTTCTTTTTTAAAATTGTTTTTAATTTCTAGTGCCTTCTGTATGCCCAATACTGGCAGGTCTGAAACCGGAATCTAGTAGAACCTCACCAGAATCAGTGGGCTCAGTAGCTATTTTATTCATTCCATTTGAACACAAAACAGTTCTAATTTGCGGTCTTACCCAATACTTTTGATTCGACTAATCTTTGATAGGTACAAATTTGAAAGTTAATGATGAGAATTTCAGTGCTAGTTACTGGCTGACATACTGTGAAACATTTTTCTGATCCATAAAAAATTCTGGGCATTTTGATGGTAAGACCTGAATATATGCAAGGTTTGTATGTTACAGTTTTATTGATGTATATCATAGAATCATAGACTCATGGAATGGCCAGAGTTGAAAAGGAGCACAATGATCATGTAGTTTCAACCCCCCTGCTATGTGCAGGGTTGCCAACCACCAGACCAGGCTGCCCAGAGCCACATCCAGCCTGGCCTTGAATGCCTTCAGGAATGGGGAATCCACAACCTGCTTAGACAACCTGTTCCAGTGTGTCAACACCCTGAGTGAAAAACTTCCTCCTAATATCTATCCTAGATCTTCCCTGTTTTAGTTTAAAACCATTCTCTCTTGTTCTATCCCTACCCACCCTTGTAAAGAGCTGTTCCCCCTCCTATTTATACACTCCCTTCAATACTGGAAGGCCACAATGAAGTCTCCCCAGAGCCTTCTCTTCTCCAAGCTAAACAAGCCCAGTTCCCTCAGCCTTTCCTCATAGGAGAGGTACTCCAGCCCACTGATCATCTTAGTGGCCCTCGTCTGGACCCAGTTCTATTGGTGTGGAGTGGGTTTATAGTACTGTTAGAACTGTACCCTTCAAGGCTTAGTCTGAATAGTGGATGTACTTACAAATGCCCTGTGCATGTAGATGCACACCCTCCTGACCTGTGATGGGCCCCATATGCATGCCTATAGCTCTTCACTCTGGTGCATTGCAGTATTTGTGAGAGAAAGACATGATGAAAAGATCTGAAATGGGAGAGCTGTGGCATAGGAGCCAGGCTCTCCAGTCTCAGGATAGTTTTCCACAGCATCTGATGGCCATCTGCACCATTTTGGTTTAGCCAAGTGCCTGGCTTCCAGTTGCTTTCAGTGGAAGTTAAGATCTTAATTAGATCTGTTCCCAGTTGATTTTCCAAGGTTCTGTGTGGTATATCATGCAAGATCCAACTGGAAATAGGAGTCAGATACCAGGAACTACAGTTACCTGGCACTTGTCCACTATTATTTTATTGTTTGAATGTTGTTATTATTGTGCAGTCCTGCACCTCGTCAGAATTATTATATATTTAAAGAGACTTCAGATTGTTTTGCTTTTTAACAGTTTAATACTGAATTCCTTGTGTACTGAATAAATATCAGATGTTCAGTAAATACTTTTTTGTTGCAGAATTTATTCCCCAGGCTTTTGGAATGCCCTTGTCACAAGTGATTGCTAATGACCGGGCCTACAAGCTCAAGCAAGACTCTCAAAAAGAAGAGCAAAGAGATGTTTCAGATTTTGTGGCCTTTCTCTTACCATTTGGAGCAAAAAGGCAGAACAAAGAACTTTCCAGCAGTAACTCATCTCTCAGCTCCACCTCAGAAACACCAAACGAATCCACTTCTCCTAACACGCCAGAGCCAGCACCGCGAGCAAGGAGGCGTGTAAGTACCCCCATAACTACAACCATACATGCTCTGTGGAGAGTATGGCAGGTGTTTGTGGACCGTGGAGCATTTCTTCTGTCATGTTTAAACAGTGATATTCTATTGATTGGAAGCCAGCCTTGTGAAGACAAGAAACCCCTCACTCTAGAGGAAATCTTTCTCCAGTGCTGATGGGAAAAGATCATATGGACCGTGCAAATCTTTTACAGATCCCAAAGTGTCAGAGAGATAATTTAAAAAACCTCAGCTCACTCTCTTTAACTACCTGCTTATGTTTAATTGTTGTAAATTAGTCAAATTCCAGGAATTTCCAGCTACTTCTTTCATATGGGAAGACTAAACCTGTGTGATTAAAATTTGTATACATGCTTATGTTAATTTATCTTCACAAACTTGGAAATAAATTAACTATTAATCATCTAATATTAATAAAATCCCCATGGCCTGATTCAAATCATGTCCTCAGTAGCAACTAAGAAGTTAGCAGAATAAATTTGTACCAAGCTCTTAAAAGTAAATTTCTGCATACAAACTAAGAAAATGCCTTTGGCAGCAGAACTCAGTGCAGCATTTTAGGTTGAACATTAATCTTGCATGTAAGATAGGTAACTGGTAGACCATTTTCTTGCAGGTTTCTGTTCCTTCTAAGTAAATTTTGTGCTCTGAAATCAAAGAGATTACCAGTTCTCCAGTGCTGCAGCTAATAACAGTATTACCAATTTTTTTTTTTCTTTTTTAGTGGAGTTGCCCATGGTATAGAGTTTCTAAAAGTATTGATTTTTTAATTTTATATTGCATTGGAGATTAAAATGCCCAGTAAAATACTTTCAATAAAACTCCATTTTAAGTAGTCTGAGAAGAAATTTGGGGTACAAGGACAGACTCTGGAAAACAAAATCTTTCTAGGATCCTGTCTTCTCCCAGGGATGAAACCTGCTTCGGAGAAATGCAATATGGTGTTCTATAAGCTGCAGTGTTAAGAGTGGTAGATCTGTAGTAAATTGCAGATGAAGAGAAGGTTCAAGAGCCCCGTGACCTGCCCCCTTTCTTTCTAGCTGTCAGGTGAAGCTTATACTTGAGGTGTCAACAGTCTTTCTGCAGGGAGGTGAGGGCATGATCTTTGAGGATGTTTACATTATTACAGACACAGAATACACGTATTGACTTCTCTAGACCATATTAACAGCCACTTCTTGCACAAAAGTGCAAAGTGCACTTGAATATGTGTGTGAAAGGAAACCTCTCAACTTCTTTCAGAATTTGGCATAGATGTTGCCAAAAAGATAGAAATGCACTGTATACACCCCTGACTTCAGAACTTGTTTTCATATGAAAGATAATTCACATGTCCAGGTGTGGGTCATCTGCTGTTCCTTTTGCGAAGTGTGATACAATCCATAACTTGTATTTGACCAGCCAGCAAGCAGAAGGAATACAGATCTTTTGTTACCTCCAAGGAATAGAGCTCTGTCAGGACCAAGTTGCTCGTCCATTAGTCTGTAGTCATGAGGGTGCAATAGAACATATGGAGAAGAGTAGACTAAGGTGAGCAGTATGATGTGGAGGGAGCATTCTCTCTGTAACGTACCTTGGTTATGCTATTTTCAACTTCAACAGAGCGAATGTTTTGATTAAAAATGAAAAAAAAGATGTTGACTCATGCAGTTGATGCAGCCAGTTTCTCACATATATGCTGCAAAGACATTTGTAGTGCAGTCTTGCCCACAAAGCCCGCTAGTGTTTAAATTGTAGAGAATGTTGGTAAATATGCCATTCACTTCCATTTAACTGTCATTCACTTTTGCATACTCCCACGAGTCTTTAAGCACTCAGTTGAGGTTGTCAGTAAGGGTTGTAAAGTAATGCTTTTGGCCGTCCTCTTGATGTCGGTGCTGATGTTCTCTCTCATCCAAGAATGAGACTGATATCACAGTGGCTGCTTTTTCTGTGTACGATTTCTGCTTAGCAGTTGGAAGTCAAGACCCTGATGATCCCTCAGGACACTTTCTATGTGCTTATTCTACAGAATATTAAGACTGTCTGTTAATGTATTATTTAGATATATTATGCAACCAAAACTTGTGTATCAGGAGCTCACTCCTACTTCTTGTTTAAAGTGATTTGTACTCAGTCCTTTCCATACATGGTAACATTGCTCATCTTTCTGTAAAAGATGTTGGTTTTTAAAGCCCTTTAAAAAAAAAAGAAAAAGGAAATAGTTTTGTCTGACCTTTATTCCACACCTGTCCCCATAGTCTTCACTTTCATTTTGCTCTTTCCATCTACTTTTTAGTCTTCACTTTTCTTTTTGTTACTTTAAGCTTATCTTAAGACTTCAGATTGTGAACTTGGCATGGCAAAGGATGCTGGCTTGACTTGGTCTGGCCAAGTAGTGCTGTACTTCAGCCACTGAACTCATGGTCTTTCTTCTTAAAGCCTGCTTTGTGTCCCAGTTAATCCACAACTTTGATACAGTGCCCAAGGATAATGGAGAACTGACTGTATTTGCATCTATTTTAGGGATCTGAATCCGACTTAAGTGATTCTGTGATAATAATGGTTCATGGGATGAGGATGTTTTGCAGATAGGGAAGGACCAGTAAGAGCTAGGGTATAAAGACAGTCACCTGTCGTACGTGAGCTGCCTGCGAACAGCAGTAGTGAGCATGGCATCAGGATTTTCAGTGTCAGGCAAATAATTTTGATGTCTGAAACCCCAGATCTTTAAAAAGAAATAGGAAAATATTTAGCTTGGAATGTTGCAAACGTGGATCACACACAGAGAATCTTGCTTGGTTTTGGGTTTGTTTTTTTCTTTCTAATTGGCAGGAAATGGTAAAGGGAAACAAGCAGATGTATTTCTGAGAAACCTTAGAAATCAAGACTGAAGTTGCATTCCAAAGAGACTAGTAATTATTTAGAGGTGTAGGTCAAAAAAAAAAAAAAACCTTTCTAGATAATTTTTACTTCGTTTTTCCGCTAAGTCTTCAAAGTGTTATGAGATGCAAGACTGTATGTTACATGCTTTACTTTAGTATGAACTAACAAGTTTTAATTTCATTTGAAATCCCAGTGGAATTTCTTTACTTTGTCTCCAAGGTGAAAACTTGTATAAAGCTTAGTTTTCTGTCCTGAAGGAAGGCAGTATTTCTAGAGCTTGGTAGTTCTGTAGTAATTGAACCGTTCCCGTTCAACAGACTGAGATCTTGCTGACAGTCAATGAAATACATGTCAGCAGAAAATATTGCTTTGAAGAAATTAGTGTTCTTAGCAAAGCATAGAATAAAAATTCTGCATTTTCACATTTTAAGTTATGGTAAAGTGTATTTTTTGCACTAGAAGGTAAGAAAATAATGTACAATAGATATTTTTATTGAGAGTTCTTTCCTTTTTTCTTTTTAATTATTATTATTGTTATTTATAAATCTAGATGTTCCCTCAAATATTTTTTGCATTGTTAAGTTTAATAATAGTTCCCTGACTCTGAGGTGAATGATAGTTTTGAAACAGCAGTTGTGTTGTGGTATGAAAAAAAAAAACAGATCTTCATTTTCAAGTGTGAACATTGAAAAATGCCATAAATCTCCTGTTGCTTGTGTTACTTCATCCTTTGCTGACTGCTTGAACCTTTGTGCCTTCCTGTAATCCAAACATAATGTTTAGAGCTTTCATTGGAATTTTATTTAAGATACCTAAAGTGAAATTACCTGGAAAAAAAAAATCACTTCTGTATTCTCTCCTGTGTCTTTGTTCTGTAATAGCGTGGGTTTATTTCAATCTCTGCAATCATACATATTTGTGTAATTAGTCAAGTCTGTGTGGTATAGAGTGGTAAATCTATTTGTATAATTTTCACTGTGTGAAGAGTGTGGAAGTGTGGAAAAAGTAAAGAATCAGGTGTAAAAATGTGTATATATCCTCATGCAAATACTGTACTGCTGAGTTGCATGCACACATTGTGACTCATTCTTGTCTTGAAGAATATCTAGGCCTTTATAGCACTAAAAGCACACTAAATGAATGTAAAGCATTGTGTTTCTTGTAATGATATAGTATATATCTATATAATATAGTAATGATAGCATGGGTACTGTCCAGATTTTTGCATCTATTACTGTAGTATTATATGTTGACCAATTTGTAAAGTGGTAGAGCAAATTGTATTTTGTACAAGTTTTTCTTAAATGCAGGTAGGCAAAAATAGTTGTTAGATGAGATGTGGTGGTCCTTAGATTTCTACAGCCATACTGAATGTTTATGCATGTATATTTTACAGGGTGCAATGTCTGTGGACTCTATTACTGATCTTGATGACAATCAGTCACGGTTGTTAGAAGCTCTCCAGCTCTCTTTGCCAGCAGAAGCCCAGAGCAAGAAAGAAAAGGCAAGAGATAAGAAACTAAGCCTGAACCCTATTTACAGGCAGGTTCCGCGGCTTGTAGACAGTTGCTGCCAGCACTTGGAAAAACATGGTAAGAATATTTCATCTTGCCAGGAGTGGCAGATGTATTTTTACTGAAGTATAAATAAATAAGTATTTTGAGAACCAAGTGTATACTTAAAATTGCAATGACATCTTTACAAGCTAGACAGTTCCACTCCAGTTTTCCCTCCTGCTTCCCTCTTCCTGTCTCACAGATAATTTCCTAGGAGATGATCTCCTCCCAGATGGAAGATCTATGCTACAAGCTTGCTAACTGGCCCATTCAGCATGGAGGAAGAGCACTTTCTTGGAGGTCATTCATTTCAGAGCTGGAGTGATCATCTCTGAATGAATGACTTTTTACACAGTACAGGTTTACACACCATGAGAATGAAAGCCTGAAAGCCAGCTACCAATTCTTAGCAACCAGTGGATCTTTAGATTTTGATGCTAAATGAACGATTTATGCTACAGTGCAAGACATAGCTAGAAACAACATTGAAAAATAGTGGTTCAGAGGAACAAAAAATATCCCATGCTAAATTATATTAAGAATTCAGAGGATTCTTTATGTTCACTACAAGACTTTCAGACTGCTTATTGTTTGTCCCTAGCTTGAATCTGTTGACCAGTCTCAGGCTCAGACCTGCTCTCTCTGAAAGGAATTATAAAATTGTGCCAATATTCTTCTTACGGCTTCATGATCGTTCAGACACAAACATCCCACTGGTTTTCTGCAATGCAGAAACAATAGCTAATCAAGATATCTATTCAACATCTCTCCCAATGTATCTTTGTTTTGTAAAGAATTTTTTATAAGAATTGAAATAACTTGGCCACACAGAGACCTATCGCTTGGCCAGATGATAAACAAACCATTTAATAATGGTGAATGTAGCATCAAATGCTGCATCTGATGCTTAATTTGACCAGAAAGAAATCATTTACAGTCTTTGAATTAAAGGCTTTTGCAGATGGGGGACAGCAACTTAAACAACAATGCTAAGCTTTTATAATACCCATGTGGCTTACAAGTATATAAAAGAAAACAATGAAAGCAAGTCATTGTTAGCCTTTTACAGAGACTAGATATCATGGCTGACAAATATGGGGATGATTAAGTTTAAGACGAATGACTTCCATCCTTTAAGTAAGGTTAACTGAGTTCGGAGAACGTAAAAGTATCTGAGACAGGAGAAAGAGACCTCAAGCAGAGTATCCTAGTGATTAAGTGCTTAATCCACCTAATACACTGTAATAACAAAGATTGTTTTCTATGCAACACTTTTTACTAAAATATTTTTATTGGAATTTCCTTTTAAATAAAACATGATGTTTCTTTGTGCATTTTCTAAGAGCACGATGTAGTGCCATACAACATGATCATCCCAGATACTTTGGGGCAAATATTGATGTTCTTCAATTTTCAACTTAATCTACAGTCCAGAGGAGTATTATACAAAAGCCATCAGGTCTGGTTGATTTTGAGAAAAACAAAGATTTCAGAAGACAGACTCAATTGATTTTTCATTGATTTGGGGTGAAAACAGAGAACTTGATGTTCTGGCAGCAATCCTCTAGTAACATCATTCCAAACTATGTGATGGATCATGTTTTATATTCTGAATATCTGTGACTATATACATTGGTCTTTTATACCAATTTTTCAGCAGCAGGCTGCAAAGAGACTCCTCATGTATGTTTTATATGATTATAAAAAGGAAAAAAGGAGGAAAGGAGGGAAGGGAAGGGAAAGGAAGGGAAGGGAAGGGAAGGGAA